CTTCTAGAACAATCTCAGTGTCTGCCACAGAGCAGTACCCTCAAGCACAGTTGGCCATTGTGTCTCTGTCCAGTCTTCAGAACTGCTGCAGGGGGCTGTGGCCAGGTACTCATGTCCACCACTAGAGATATCCTTCCAGTGGACTTAGATGGATTAATTCACCCTCTCTCCAGCAATGAAGATGGAAAGGATTTGTTTGGTCTGTATGTGGGTAAACGGAGGAAAGTGAGGTGGGCATGGGGGGTGGGGAGGCGGGCAGTTGTGCGTGGACGTCACTTTCAGCCTCTCTGCACTTTCAGGTCATTGGGAGGATTCCTGGAACCCAGGATGTTTTGATGGGACCCTCCCACAGGAAGCTAGGCTGGCATGGGTGTGTGGAGACATCCTGCCTGGGTCACACCATGAGACCCGTGCCCATCTGGGGCCTGGTGCTATGACTTGGGTCTTGCTGTCACTGGCCTTTGGGTGAATACCACAGACTGAAGTGCCGTGTGCTCCCTGCAGCGCCCACGGGCCAGGCTGCATGGAGCACATCTCAGATCGTTCCTGTACACACTGACCCACTGCCCTGCCTGTGTGCCATGCTTTCCTAGCTGCACTTAGCCATGGGCCTGCCTGTCTGCTACTCTGGACGGGGCTCGTCCCTAGTTGTTTCCACCAGAGTTCGCTCTGAAGCATGTGGGTCATTTCTTGTAGCATCCAGGTCCTCAGGCCTGATGCTCTTTGACTCCTTGCTGAATGCTCTGGTTTGGACCACTGGCAGGGCTGGGTCTCCTTCCCTCAACCTTGGCATGGACGTGCTGTCCTTCCCTGGTTCATGCCCCTGAATGCTCCTCTTCCAGCCCTTCTGTGGTGCGATCTGTCTGGGGTAGAGCAGACATCCTGTCATGAGGGATCGATCTTCCCATTATGTCCCTGTCACCCTCTGCCTTCCCACTGTGGCTGTGTGGGGGCAGCGCTAGGTCTGACCACACAAGGGCAGAAACCCACAATGCCATCAGCTGCTTCCACCATAAGTGCCTTTCCAGGGGATGCAGCTCCCACATGAGTGGGGTGATGTGACAGGGCAGAGAGTGAGGGTCATCCCGAAACACATACTGCCTGGCGCACACATATGGGTGCCCGCGGCCGGCGTTGCAGAATCTGACAGGGCATCGCATGGGTCTGAATCTGCCATGAGCACACAGCTGTGTCTTTCTGCCTCAGAGGAGCTGTTTTCCGCTTGACTGCTCACTGCATGGGGCCTGAGGATGGCAGGGCGGGCTGGGTGAGGACCGGTGAGGGGAGTGGGCCCTGCAACACCCCATGTTTCACGCCAGAAACCCAGGCTTTCTTGGTGCTTGTGGGGAGCATAGGCTTATTCCCCAGGGTGGACCATGTGCCATGATGACAGACTCATCTTTCCACGAGGCTCAGGCCCAGCATCTCAAAGATGGCCTCGACTGCGTGTGGGTGCTCTGTGATAGATAGATGCACACCTCGCTGCTCCCAGGTTCCAAAAGGACCCAGCCCTGCATGAGAGGGACGTCATAGTCACATCTTCTCTTTATCCGTCTGCCCCACAATCCTGTCAGTCCACATTTCAGTGTTTGTTTATAGAAAACAGACTTCTGCAATGCCAGCTTCAACCACACAACTATCACAGGAAACGTGTCTTCTCCAACTTCACACGGACCAGGGTATAGGCCAGCATGGAGGCCAGAGACACAGCCAGTTTCTCCAAGATGTGACCTTTGTGAAAGGACAGCACCGTCCCATGCTCGTCGCTGAGAGGATCATGATGTAGCTCAGTCTCCAGGGACCCGGGAAACTGCAGCAGGTGAGCAGAGGCCATCGAGACCCCCACACCACATCCCCTCCTTCCCTGAGACCCTGCATCACAGGGATGATGGCACCCACCCTGTTCCATGCCTGTCTGGCCAATCCATGGCCCCTCCAGAGACAGCTGGCCAGGCATCCAGGCCACAAGGGCAGCTGCCGCCCCATGGGCTGAGCAGGGTGGGTGAGAGTGGGCTATGCCCTGTGCTTGGAGAGTTTTCCCGTCACTAGGCGGGTGTGTGGTGTAGGCAGCTCCTTCTGTGCCCGTCCAGGGTCTGTAGACACCAGCCCAGTGACCCCCATGCTCTCGCCCCAGCACACAGGCTGGTGGACATTTCTGGGCCATGTGGCTTTCAGGCAGGGAGACGGTGCCTCTGCCTCCAGGGAGGAGCCACACACACCAAAGTTGGCCCAGTCAGTGCCAAGGAGAGAATGGGACTCAGAGAAGTGGCTGGTTTGCCTGAAGTAGTACAGCCTGCCAGCAGGCTGTGCAGTGTCTCAGGGGTCCGTGATGCATCCTTGTGGTTCAGCAGCGAAGATTTCACGCTCCCTTCCAGGTGCTCTAGCAGGGTCCACGTGCACCTCCAGCTAGGTCAGAGTTCTGTTGCTGCAGGTCCCAGTGTGAAAAGGAGGAAGATGGCACTCGTGTCTGTGACCTGCAGTCCCGAGGGGTCCCAGGATGGTCTACGGCCACACCCGTCTCTGTGTGAAGGTTTTCAGCTGACAGGGCCTGACTGGAGCCTGGAAGATGCACTCAGGGGCCCTGGCATGTAGGAGTCTCTTCTGCCAGGGGCCTGCTCCCCACAGACTGCCGAGGGGAGGGAAAGCAACCCAGGGGAGCTGCAGTTGTGGTAGCTGCAGCCCTGGGGTTTGCCCTCCCCTTGCATCAGAGTCCTCAGTCTTCTACCTCCAGGCATTGTAGGAGGGAGCCAGGTTTTCTTCTTACAGAGCCGCCCAGAAGAGGAGGGTACACAATGGTTTCTTGGCCTCACTGGCTTCTCTTGGCGTCTGACCAGGAAGGAGGTTGGGGGTGGCAGCTGGTGCCCAGCACTACCCGATACCCTCTGACTCTGTCTGCTGCATTCCTTGGCAGGCAGGACATGAAAGCCGTGAGCAAGGCTCTTCCAGCCTCCCGCCCAGGCTGCTGCAGGGCCCAGGAGCATCTTGGCAAGGCTGACCTTCTTTCGATGCCCTCTCAGGAGGCAGCTGGGTGCCACAACCTGTGCCCTTCCCCTGGGGCCTCCAGTGCCTGCTCAGGTGCCAGCAGGCCCATCTCCCATCTGCGAGGCCAGAGCTGAGGACACTCTCATGAAGGCGGCTAGGGTTTCAGCTAAGCACCGGGAGGCTGACCCCAGAGGTTTCTGTCATGGAAGAGTCGTGGGGAATCCAAGATCCTGGATCTTTTTACATTTGGCTGTTTTGTCCTTTTCATCTTCACCTTAGGGAGCCTAGGGTACTCTCCCTTCACACCCTGAAGACATCTCTGTGCATCCTCTGTGCTCTCTAGACACATGGAGGGTTGTGTACTCCTGCTTCAAATGCCCTGCCAGCAGGCCTCAGGGACAGTGGAGTCAGCCCCTTTTGGATGAGGGGAAATTGGAGCGTGAGCCTCCCAAGTCCTGGGGCCACATCTGCCTTCCCTGCCATCCATGGTCCAAGAAAAACAGCCCAGAGACGCCCGGACACCCCGAAGCTAGCATGAGACTGCCAAGTCATGTCTTTCTCATCTGTGCCTGGAGCTCCTGCTTGTCCACCAAGTCCTTAGGCACCCTCCACCTGGGAACAGCCAGGCGTCAAAGGAGACAGAGGAACATGGGATCCACCCCTTCTACCAGGCCCTCATGGGGTGTAGGGAGTCCCACAGGCCTTGCCTGGACAGCTCATGGTGCCTTTATGGTATGTGAAATCACATGGCCAAGGCAAGCCAGCTGTGGGACAGGTGAGGCACTAGCAGCTGTACACTCTGTGTGTCCTTAATGCGCAAGAGGGAAGACCACCAAGAGAAGGGACGGATCCAGGGCTTCAATTGTCACATGTTGTCTACACCTCATATTTACATGCATGTAACGTGCATACAGCTGTGAGGGCAGAGGACTGGCTGCTTCCAGCCTAGGATCCATGGAACTTATGTTAAAAGAATGAGACAAGAATGCTAATCTAATACACAGCAGTTAGATTTACAGGGACTTTCCCCATCAGTAGAGGAGGAAAAAGGCATGTCAGCATCCACGGGCCTCTATCCTGGGACCTGCGTGGGACCCCTCCCCGGCTGCCACCCTCTTTCCTGGGTGGACACTAACAGGGTGGGCTGGGCTGTAAAGGTGGGGCCGAGGGCTTCCTAAGCCTGGGCTCCCTGCGTGGACCTGAGAGGGATGGGTGTGGAAGGTGGAGACACTGCACTGCTGAGAGTCACTAAGTACCATAGGGAATAACTCATTCCATTCTCACCTCCATACAGGCCTCCCCACATGTCCTGTGGGGCCCATCATTCTTGCAGAGTATGCATGGTAAGGCCACGAGCCCACAGGAACCATGGCCCTGCCAGGACCCTAGTCTGTCAGGACCCAGGCCGGAGTATCTCACTAGGTCTGGTCCTGGGCCTCAGAACACAATGGGGCTCTCCCTGTCATGTGGGCACAGGGGCTGGTGGGGTGGGGGGCTCATGCGGGGGCCACCAACACACACCACAGGACCACAGTGCAAAACCCATGCAGTGGCCGCTCCCACACAGATAAGCTGTCTCCACGGCAGCGCCAGCTCTGGCCACACTGTGTGGCTGCCAGAGTCCACGCAGGGAAATGTGGCTGTTTTTAGATGAGTGGTGGATATGAGCCAAATTGTTTCATGGTGGGTTTGATGGCCTTCTCCCCACTGCTGCAGAAGGTGCACCTGCCATGTAGTCGAGCTGCAAGGCCTCCGTCCTAGAGCCCTGGACACAGCGGGCTGCCAGCTGGACGCTGGTGCAGCTTCTGCAGGGGGAGCACCTGCTGACTGGCAAGTTCATCCTGGAGGAGACGCCGCAGACATTTGCACAAGGAAAAGGGCTGAGTCGGGGGAAAGCGTGGACTCCCTCCACCCCAAAGGAAACAACAGCAGAAAAAAGAAGAGGAAAAACAAGACTGGAAGCACAGGAGATTGGAGGGAAGACACCGACTCACTTACCACGCTGCGCGTGAACTTTTCTAGGGAAGTTCTACGACCTTGCTCACTTTCTGGCTTTAGGGAAAAAAAGGTAGGGAGAAAAATACAGAAAATATGTCTTCAGCTTACATGTGGCTTCCCGACAGAGGCTGCCGTTAAAGAGCAAGGACAAAGCAAGACAGGAAAACGGGAGAGGGCAGCCAGAGCTGTCAGTGTGGAGGGGAAAGGAAGCAGGAGCGGGCAGCACCACCTCTGGGTGCCGTGGGCCAGTGGGTGCCTTGAGGTTGAGCAGGGGCAGGGCTAGACCAGGGGCCACCGTGCTCTGCAGGGGCCACGGTGGCAGGTGGCTTCCGACTGGCTCACAAGCAGGAGTCCAGGTGTAAGACCGCTTGCAGCCCAGGTGGGGACAGAACATGGCTCTGAGGCAGGTAGATAGGATGTTGGGAGGGCCAGGAGGTGACAGCATCCCTGGCTGGGCTAGGGCTGTTTGCTTTCTTGAGATGTCCTGCCCAGGGTAGCAGTCTGCACTCATGACTTTCTGATGACACTCATCCTGCACGCTTAGAGCACCAAGGCCATGGCCATGACACAGGGCCTTTGCACAGAAGACAGTGATGTAGGTCTGTTCTGAACAGAAGATTCTCTGTATGGTGGGGGGCGGGGTGGGGAACACTTTTCAAGATGTCCTCATGGCAGATGAGGTGCAGGCGGGGGAGGTCCAGGACCCTCTGGGCACAGCGCCCTCTGCTGCTGGCCATCTATGCCTCCTCCTGCCAGGCTCCCTGAAACCTGCCGGCTTCTCCTTGACCCCCAGGACGCAGAGCCAAGGCTGGGAACTGGCAGAGTGCACACATGCACATGGACATACATGCCCAGCAAGTGATGGAAAATGGACCAAAGAGGTGGCAGGCATCTGCGGGTCTGCAGGAGGGCACAAGGCAGGGCCGCGGGGAGCCAGCATCTGCGTGCAGGTATCCGAGGCTTCCCAGTCTGTGGGCTCAGTCGGCAACCAGAAGACAGAGATGAGGCAGCAGAAGGAAGCAGTGCTAGCAAGGGCCTCCCCAGGCCCGGCCTTCCTGCATGGCGAGCTACCTGCAGGTCCTTGCTGGGCCAAGGCACCCCATTCCATTCTGGGAATGGCCTAACTCAGCATGGAACTATGGCAGCTAGCTCAGGGCAGCTACCGGGCCCACCGCCGGCCCCCCTGTCTCCTTCCCTGCTCTCGTTGCTGAGGGTGGCCCCAGCCTTACTTGCTGGGTCCCTGTGCCCTTCATGGCTCATGAGCTGCCCTGAAAACCATCACCATAGGTGCTCGGTTCCCAGGAGCAGCCTCAAAACTCACCTTGCCTTCCCCTTGAGAACCATGATTTTCAGTATGAAGATGTCTGAAAAGAGGATGAGCCTGAGATGGAGGGAGGGAGGCTGGGCCTGGGGTTCACTGGCAGTGCTTAGCGGGAAGGGAGGAGGAGGCTGGAGGCCTCCTCCCTGGCTGGCAGCTCCTTGTGCCCCTCACATACCTTTTAGGACCTGGAAGCTGCTGTCTCCTGGGAGTCTTTCCTGAGCCCCTGGTACCAAGAGGGACTCGAGGCCTACCTGGGAATGGTGTGTTCCAGGTCAGATATGAGCCTGGAGACCCCCAGAGGAAGTGGCAAGAGAAGGCAGACCTGGTGGCTGTTAGGGTCTCTGCTGGCCTTTCTGCCTCTAGAGTGCCCCTTGGCATAGGGGCGGGAGGATGGTTCCAGACACCTTCACTCTGACACGTTCCAGGAGGGCCCACTGTGCCTCCCCATGCAAACGCCCTCAAGAAGTCGTCTCTCTCAGGAAGATCTGAAGGCCAGACCTGGGTCACCTCCTGGCCTGGGGCACACAGTCCCCTGATGTTCAACTCCTGAGTCAGAATTATTCCAACATCCTCTCCTGTGTGTGCAGGCCCAGGTCAGCCTGCCAGAGCCTGGAGTGACCTCCAGCTGTGATCAGTTCAGGGATCATGAGCCACAGGAAGCATGGGAAACTCACTCTGACCTTGTCCCTGCTTCTTCTTCCTTTCTCCCAGAAATCCCTCTGGGTTCAGCCCTACTCTGTCACCCCTCAGTACCCCTGCAAGTTAAGAACCTGGACCCCAACTCCCCAACTCCAAGGGCACAGAGTCGTGGCTGTGCCACGACTAAGTACAGGAGGACACAGGAGCAGATACTTCCTGGTTAATAGAAGAGGGAAATGCCAAGGTAGGTGGGGAGGAACCCAGAATGGCCAAGGGAACCAGTAGGGGCTTGTCAGTCGCCCAGGGAACCAGCAGGGGCTTCCATTCAGTGAGGCCCCTGCCTCATCTCATCTGGTTGGACCGGGAGGGAGGCCTGTGTTGAGGGGCTGGTCTCTAGAGGCTCTCGGCGTCCAGGAGCTGTGCCAGGTGCCACCCATCCCCCAAGCCCCCACAGGCCTGCACAGGCAGCCCTGACCTTGGACCTGCTCACACCACCAGCCTGGGTGGGACCAACGGTGACAGTCCTGACTGTCCTTTGGAGCAAGAGTGGAGTGGATAGGAGAGGGGCAGAAGGAGAAAGAATCAGCAGCGTCCAGGGGACGATGTGCTCCTCTCACACCACAGCAAGCAGCGGGCCGGGAGCTCGGGACACACGGCCCCCCCACTACCTTCTTCCTGGCCAGCAGCAGGTCCTGGTAGGCGTTGGAGCGGAGGAAGCGGGCATAGCTGTCGCTCTTCATCAGCTTGTAGATGTGCTCCTGGGAGGGGGCGGAGACAAAGGGAGTGCTTTGAGCCACCAGGATGGCACTATCAGGCCCTCACTCTCTTGGGGGACACTAGGAGCCAGTGTGTCCCTTGGAGTACTCGCCGTGTGTCCCATCCGCACCCCAAACTCAGAAGCACCAAACAAAACACATGTTTTCTCACAGAGTAAGAGACCCATGAGGCCCACATCCCAAGGGGTGCTGTCTGGGCCTGGTGCCATGTTGGGGTGGAATGGTGAAAATGCAGACACTGCAGCAAGAGGGAGCGAGCCTTCCACATGGCAGTGGGCCGAGTGGATCCCAAGGGAGTTGCGAGTGAGGAGTCGGGCCCACCTGCATATGAGGCGCTTCCGTTTATATGACAGTCTTGAAAGGACAGACTGTAGGAGCAGAGAAGAGATGCCTGGCTGCCGGGCACAGGGGAGGGAGGAAGGTGTGGGGGAGGGGAAAAGCACAGGCGAGAAGGGATTTGTGGGGGTGGTAGGTGGTGTGGGGGAGGGAAAGGCATGGGGAGAGGCATGAGGGAGAGAAAGGCATTGGGGGA